GACCAAGATGGAGGGTGGAGAGTTTAACCGTACAGAATTTAACCCAGAGTATGAGTTTAACTGTGGAAAGTTTAAAAGACTTGTAGGCAAAAAAACTTTCTTCCCAATATCCGAAAGGAAATCCGCAAGGAAATCGACTCGCTTCTGAGCTAGTCTTCTCGACCTCAAGAAAGGTTCGACGAAATTGGAAAGTACCTGTCCAAAATTTTATTTCAAAGACGGCACTGTGATATCGACGATCAAGGACGTAAAAGAACACAACGAAGGCGTGAAAAGCCAAATTAAAGAGATCAAGGAAGACATAATATAAACAAGCTCGGCAACGGTGGTTTTAATGTCTGGGTCAAGTTGGATGAGCTCGATCGAGTAGTACGCGCGAAGAGACTGTCTTGAAATAACCGGTATTCCGGTCGTACCTCACTGAATGACAGCCCAGCGTTGCTGGTGAAAGAAATGTCTGAAATTATGGGAGTGAACCTCAACGAAAACGATGTTTTGGTCGCTCATCGTTTACCACCAACGGACTGAAAGATCGACTAATTGTCAAGTTTACTCGAAAAGAGAAGAAAGACGAAATCTACAGCAAGAGGAAAAACTTAAAATCTAAGCGGACTAAAGATCTCCCGTCTGCGGTCTGAGAGCTGGGATCTGCACATTTCCATCTCAGTGAAAGCTTAACGCCATAGAGAAAACGACTACTGGACAGAATTTTACAATTCAAGCGCGACCACAACTACAAGGCGCTCTTGCGCATAAAATTCCAAAAACGATACACCTCTTGCCCTCTATGACTTAGCTCATTCGGCTTCGGCTGTCCATAATTATAATACTAGGTATGCCACTAATCAAAACCTGTGCAGACCATTTTCCAGAACTAATTATGGCCTAGCAAGGTTTAGTGTGGTGGCATCGCAGACCTGGGAAGCAACACCTATGTAAATTATTTAATAAGTGTCTCCCCTTAGTTAAACAGTTTTAAAGAAGAGTGTAAACTCTTTGTACTTGACAGTCAGGCATCTTGAACAGCTCTAACCTGTTATTTAGCTCCATTTATTTAATTATTTAATTTAAATAGTTGTTTTTACTCGTATATACCCTTCCTTTTCAATATGATTAATTTAGCCAGAATTCCATGTCTAGTTTTTTGTAGCCAGTACCGTGTAACCTCCACCTACTTGTAACCGCTCTGTGGTAGTAGCCAACTCGAAAGCTTGGCCGCTACACACTTTTTTCCTTTGTTATGTTTAATTCATTGTATAGTTAGCTCTGTATTTATTTTTTTTCTTATTGTTGTATTGTAATTGAACAAGTGTGAATAAATGTACTTGTTTGAGGGGAGAGGGGAGAGAGGAGAGGCGGGCGGCTGTACACAGGCTATTTTGCTCTTGATTAGTTAGCTGCGTTTTAATTTTCAGCCAACCCTTGACTGGGGGTCAAAAGAGTAAGAAACCTGCATTTTATCACTGGGGACAGTTTTACGTCTCCTATGGAAGACGGGGCCGCCATTTTGAATTGTTATTTTAAGACCCCGAGTGCCAAGTCGGGCTTCTGAAGTCGAACGCGCGATATCCTCCAGCGTCTGTTAACTAGCTAAGCTATAATCCTGCTGGCGACAGATATCCTCATCGGTTAAGACATAAATAACCTATTTTAGGCCGACAAGGAAACAATAGAAAACGCTACATCGTAACGATTGCAATTCAGGAGAATCAGTATAATCAAATTCTCTAAATCTAATAAACGCTTGAAAAGACTTCCCTAGACTGGTGAGCACTGTAAAAAACCCGGGGGGGCACTTGGGTATTTTTTGGGTGGGTATGTGCCGCCCAGGACTCCAAATTGGCACCCCGTTGTAAAAAAAATTTTTCCTAAAATTGATACCCCGTTCTAGAAATGGGTCAATTTTTATACCCCGTTCTAGAATTCGCCCTAAAACTGATACCCCGTTCTAGAAATGGGCCAATTTTCTATACTCCGTTCTAGAAAGTTTGTAAATTGAAATAGTCCTGTTTTTTAGAAAGATATTTCTTTATTTATTCGACTTATACAACAAATAAATGCTTCTTCATAATCAGCAACAATTTTAAGCAGAAGATAAAGCCTTGATCCACAATCTTTCATACCCCGTTCTAGAAAACGCCTCTGAAATGGATGCCCCGTTCTAAATCAGGAGCTTCAAAATCACGACCTCGTTGGGCGGCACATACCCGTATAGGTAATGTAAGGGAGTACCCCCCCGGGGTAAAAAAACAGCTTTGTTTAATTTTAAAACCGAATAATTAAGAATAACAACAAAAAAAAAGAATGAGTGGAATCATGATCAAATAACCAAAGCAAAGAATTAGCCTGTGTATAGCCTCCCCCTCCTCAAAGAAATATTCGGGAAAGAGGACTAATTTTCCCGATTGTTTCCGCAGGAAAAGTTGGCAAGAAATTAAAAATAGTTGTAAGAAGAAGAAAGAAGCCAATTTAATCTAAAAAAGCAGATTTCTTGCTGTCATTTCTCTTCATTTCGGATTATTGACATATTAGGTAACCCGTGGTTCAATTATAGCTCCTGGATATTATTTCCAATCACTCATCTAGGACAGAAGTGACACTAAACATGCGTTATTGACCAAGGTTTAATAAGATGGATGGATATTAGATTTGGACCGAGACAAAGTCGAGATATCGATCAATAAATACGTCTACGCGACTATAACGAAAGAGCATCGCAACGGATTCTTACAAAGACATTTTTTTTTTTACCTGATAGGGATTGATAGGTTCTTATAAAACTATAACTAGCATATCGTTTAATATTTACTAACAGTTTTTTGCCACATAATGAGCACCGATATTCCCAGTAATGTATGGATGCCTTAATTTTTTAATCATTTATGTTTGTGTGTGTTTCTTTTTTCTTAATTTTACCTATTTTTGTTCATAAAAAGAATTCAATTTTAAGGCCAAAGTCAGTCCCGGACCATGTACATGTGCAAATCGTTTAAGAGGCCGATACGCTGATTGCAGGGTCAGTCTTAAGGAGTTTTTACTAAGCAGCCTAGTAAAGATTTTGTCAGATGCAGGGTAAACATTGAGAAATTTCGCAGCAGTTGACTATAAATAATAGCCAATCTTATTCAGAGGTATTACATGTAAATAAAACAATGGGTAGTTTTTTGTTTTGCCGGAAGCTGAATCTTATTCTGACTCGATGTCTGGAAATGCCTGTTTGTTTATAACTAGTCGTGGCATAAGCGAAATAAAAATATGTTCAAAAATACTCAAATGATCATCTTTCAAGCGATTCTATTAGGATCAATGTCGGTTTTATTTACATTTCATAATCCGTATCGGCTAACTTTAACAATCAAAACTGAGATGAAATCAAATTTCATTTCGTGTGTGAAAAAAAAAATCGCCTGTTTATTTTAACCCAGGGACAGCTGACCAATCCTAGGTCTCCTCCGTATACAAATTTTTTAAAGTGAATGACTTACGAATATTGGCGTATTCTTAATCTAACTGATTTTTAGTCATGCTGAGTTTGGTTTTCTTCACTTCTTGTTTTCGCTTTTTATCTTCCATGCCAAGTGTGCGTAAACTTGAGCGGATTTAAGTATCTCTCGTTATCCTAATTGTCATGCCACAACCGTAAAATTCAATTCTAACCGGGCGTAAGAGTCGAAGTGTCTTAAGTTAACGGCGGTTACGACTGTGATATACTGCTCACTGTCATCTCAAGCAAAAAAAGCCTGTAACAATATCCCCATCGATAAAATACCTCTGTTACTGGTGCTCGCGTTCAAGAAATGCCTGAAAAAGATACAAGGTTGGAGAAGCTTGCTTTGGAGCTTTTTCAACGAGAAACGTCCCTTATTTTGGCCGAGTTCTTGGTTTGTGTTTTAGTTACGACCGCCTCAATTTTAGGCAACGTTTTCGTCCTCTTTGCTTTATACAGGAATCAAAGGCTACGAAAACCGTCAAACTTGTACATTATCTCGCTGACAATCTCAGCTATAACTTTAGCGGTAACTGGTATGACCTTGGTGTGCGTCACATCGTTTGCCGGTCGCTGGATGTTTGGGCCAGCTCTCTGCTGGCTTCAAGCGTCTGTTGCTACAATGTTGGGGACCGTGTCTTTGGTCAGCATGGCGCTCATTGCCGTAAATAGACTTCTTAAAGTTGTATACCCCAACATGCATCGCAAATTGGTGTCAGCGAGAACAATTTTGATCTCCATTTTTGCCGCTTGGTCGTTCACCGGTGTTATTCCACTATCGTTTTATATAACTGGAGTCAGGAATATATTTCATCCCGGCCATCAGCTATGTTTGTTTGATTTCAGCACTGCGAGTTATACGCTTATCGCATTAATAGCCATTTTCGAAACTTTTCTTCCTTATCAAGTGATCTTTATTTCCTATTTCAAAGTTTGGCGCTTCATCAAAAGCCATATGCTTCAAATGTCTACCTCGCGAGTAAACGTAGAAGACATAAAACTTAACCGTCTATTAGCTGTAATCGTGATCTCGTTCACCATTTGTTTTACTCCATTCTTCGTAATGATTTTGATTGATACTTCTCGAGAGAAGTTTTCTCTTCCTCGACAACTTTATTTTTTTGCAACTGTGACTGTAGGAGCTGCTAGCTGTATTAATCCTATGATTTATGGAATCATGAACAAAGAATTCAGACGAGGTTTTGTTGCCATTTTTCGAAGAAAAAGAGGAAGAATAGGGATTTTGGTGGAGGAGAGAAAAATTACTGTCACAGGAGGCGGAAATAAAGTCTGTCCAGCTTAGTTTACGTGGTCCATCCTTTTTGGAAGGACTAATAAAAACATAACATACATTCTAAATTCTTTAAAAGCAAGCTGGAATATCCATAAACAGAACATCGACGTTGTACGTATTTGCATTTATGAACCTACTGTCACAATACCACTAAATTGGAAATTGATTCCTCTTTATTGTAAATCTTTCAGAGCAATTTGTGTTGTAAATGAATCGCCTATTCAGACTTAGACACAGGGCTAGCTGACCAATCCTAACGGTATGTCTACTCTACAGCGGGTAGCTCATGAAGTTAAAAACTACCCCGGCCTCATGTATGGACCTGTCCCGCACACTGCTAAAAAGTGGGAAAGAACCTAACCGACATGTAACGATGCAGTTTCAAGATCGCAGCCGCCCCGTAATCACCATTCTTACTTGTGAACAAATGCGCTCAGGAACCTAATAAAGTTTTCGTGCCGGCGCAAGAACTCTCTGGTGTCGACGTACGTTCCCTATAAGTCTCCCTTAAGATATTTAATTAGCAATGAACAAATGTGATAGTCACGTTTGGATATGACAGTTCTTTCCGATTTTAAGCGATTCTTATTCTGCGCTCAGTTTTCAGTTTTCCTATAATGATAGATAAATATTTTCAATCGTTGTGGCATATATCCGAAATCGTGCGTGCGTAATTTTCGTTATCCTAATTAAAAAACTACATTTGTTAACTCAGGATTCGCATGCAATTGAAATGAATCGAAACTACAGTGTATATAATGTTTCCTTTCAAAAGAAGCATCTAATCTCAGAAAAATTCCTTCTACCTATTACTGTCCATGCGCACACATGCTCGCTCGCAAGAAAAGTTTGAAAATAAGACACACAGCTGGAGACGGTTGATTAAGGCAGGTTTCACAACTGAGTGAATGTTAAAGGTTATAAGAAGAGTTAGAAGAAAAAAATGGAGACGTTCTGATTCTTTCGATTCCGTTTCCGTCTCGCTTATGACTTAGTCCACTAAAGACTAGGATTTTTGTTTTTGCTTAGGTAGGCGCTCTTACGACTCCGACTGAGATTCCGTGGCAGTGAAAACCACTACAGGTGTAGGTTTGAACATCTTCTTAATCGAGAAATTTTCCTTCTTATATTTATGACCAAGTTATTATTATGTATTATCAGTTACAACCGCCTCAATGTGGAAAGATGCGGCCCGAGTTTGTACCGATCCTGCTTATTTAGCTAATAGTTTGTATGTATCTTTCGGCACCAATGTGTCATAAGTTCAAAACAAAATTAATCCGCAATACATCAAATATTCATCCTTGATCTTATTAAAAGTTAACATATCAATAAAATCGGAGGTGTTGCCTTAATAAACTTTATTGACCTCAGTGAGCATCATCAAAGTCCCTAAAAGAGAGTTTAAATGTGTTTTTTACAGCCGCAAACCTGTAAAATAAGAAAGCGAATCCACAACAAAGCTATTTAAAAAAGTCATTATCGCAAACCTTTGTCGATTTCCCTTGCCTTATAAATAAATATTATATAAAAACAATATGCAGCAAATCATATCTATGTTACCGGAGAACAGAATTTAAGAATGCAACAGGATTTTAGCCCAGGAGCTCCTACCTCACCACAGCCCTGATGGATGCAGACGTGCTGCCGTTTTGTTTAAGCGACGTATTTTTCCACTCTTTCCCGCTACCCTGAAATATAATTGGGTAACTTTCCGGTGAAAACAAACATTAAAGCCGTCGTTTCAATTGCTCATAAGAATCAATAACTCGCGCACATAAATCGTAATTGTTGCGTGTTGGCAGGAAAAGTCACCAAAAGATATTTGTCATTCATTACATTTGGTTTGTAGGGGGAAAGAGGAGGTTCAAGAAATAGTTCGTGAGTCAGGTTCAAGTCAGTTCATGAGGGTAGTGGGAAAAGGAGTTTTCTCTTTTCGTATGGACCTAAAGGTTTTGACGGCTGATTTGAAAACTTCTGTTTATTGATGAAAACTGATCCAAGACGTGTCGCCCGCCTACTTGAAAACCTAGTAAAATACCCTTGAAGATCGATAAATGGTAATACCATGCCTTAAATAGTGTATTGTTTGTATGCCTGTAAAGGTTGGAGAGACACTGGTCATAAGTTTAAGGCTTGCTATTGCTCAAGGGTGTCATGTATATATTGAAAGTGGAGCCATTCGAAATGCTACGCTCCCCTCCCTCCCCAAAAACCAAACACTTGGAGCACTCCCTGAGAGTAAAGTAAGTATTAAAACACTTTGACAAATAAATGTTCACTGTTGCTACTATCCAACGACACTTTTAAACTGTAGATCCAATTTCTCCGGTCAGAGTCTTTAATAGCCTCGCACGCAGGCGTTTTTAGGGGAGTCGTGTTTCCTCCCTCCCCACAAACGCCTGCTTACCCAAGACCAACATTCCTTTCCGCGGCTTAGCCAATCACATTGTACCTGCCAAATTCTGTTAAACATTGAGCCGGGTAAGAAGGCGTTTGTGGGGAGGGAGGAAATGCGTTGGAAACTTATTTATTATCAGGTTTTTCTCGTGACGCTCTTTTGGGGGAATGAGTGCGGGCTCATTTTCCCGAACAACGGCTAGAAATCGAGCCCAGAGTCTTCTATTTAGAATGCCTTTTCCTGGTCTACGTTTATTTATTCTGGTCGAAATATTTTCGCTTCGCGCGCGTGGGCGCCCCCATTCTACTAAAAGGTCTTGCATTAGAAAATCACTTATCCCACAAAACCAGGCCGCTCTAAGTATATATTAACATTGTTCCTCTGTTTTTCAACTTTGTTTTCCACAGAAAAAATCCCTTGTTCGTTTCCACACTTCCAGGTTTTAAATCATTCCATCTACACGTCCCAGGTTTGGTCTAATAATGTCAACAATTAGCACAACGCGATCCTTTTCTGAACCATTACAAGCAGAATGTTCAAAAGTGTCGTCGAACAAGATCCCTTTTCCCTCTTTCCATGGTACATCAGCGCCATTTACTGTCAGCCATGAACGTTTCCCGTTGTCTGGTACAATCAACGCCAGATGATAGCGAAGAATAGACGCTGTAGACGCACAGTGCGGCGGAATTGATCCTCGTGCTTTCAGAAGTGAAAATGCAGCATTTTGAACTTCAGGAAGCTTTGTTAATATGGAGAGTGTGACAGGAAAAAAAGACTTAACCTCGTCTATGGTTTTGCCGTAGCCTAAAATCATCGCCAGTTTCCATTTGCTTTCTGTATTGAGCTCGCTGCCACCAGTTGTGTGTACGTTGCACATTCCAGCGCCATTTTTCACTAACAAAATCAGCTCATCTCGAATAGCTTCCCAGTTAGCTTCTAGCTGATACAACCATGGAAACATCTGAAGATAATTCTTGAACACGGCTGTTTCAGTAAAAAGAAAACATGTTTAAACAAAACCGAAATAACTTAGGTACGAAGTGCACGCGACTTTTTGTCACTTTACTATAAAACCTAGTATCAGATTCTATATTTAGTTTCGTTGCTTGGTGGTAAATCATGATAAATTACACGTCTTGAGAATGAATTAAATCACCGCTAATGATAAGCTGTTGTCTTGATTCTGAACAAATTTACCCAAACTGGTAGACAAGAAATTTGTCAAGAACTTGCATGGAGAGAGATATAGAAAACTCCTCTGTGAAAACATATTTAGTCTTACATCACTAATGACTATCTTAAAGGCATCGAAGGCAAGATTATTGTGAACGAAAATGTCCCTGCAAATCTACGCCTGTACCGGTGAGGCATTTTATACAGGCAAGTACAAACCAACCCTCAAGTTCCGTGAGAAATGCAGTGAGCTTGCAGTCCTTTCTTTTTAGAGACTATTTTAATACAAGTATAGCTCCTCCTATCCCTGATGATGCGCGCCTTTGATCGGCAAAACTAGGATCATTTTCATTTTCATTTTTAATTACAGCACTGAAAGGGCTCACTCAAACAATATTTAGGCTATACGCACGACACAGGATAGCTTTTCGCGCGCTCCACTTTTTGTGATCGGCCCGGCGCAGCTTCGCTCTGTCACAACCGTTCCTGCGTGTGAACAGAAGTCCTTTCTGTATGGTTATGCCGGACAATAATTTTCAAGAAGGTATGTAAATAGACTACGAGTAGTCCCCAATTTGTCCTCAGGGATAGTAAAGCGAGTGCGCGTGAAAATCACCCCACGCGAGAAAAGGCGACACGCACCGCGTCTCGCCTTTCTCGCGTGGGGTGATTTTCACGGGCGCTCGCGTTTCCCTCGCTCTACTATCCCTGAGGAAAAATGGGGGACTACTCGTAGTCTATACTACGACTGGCTGTTACTGAATTCAAGACAAAATATATTTTGTTACCATGCACATACCTGGACGGCTTTTATCAGCTATTATTCGCTTGTAGAAAACATCAATCAGAATATTGAGAAGCGAGCACAGGATAATTTGCCTTGTTTTCTTGTAGACTAAAGCAAACATGGCTATTAAAGTAAATATGATGGCAAAGACTTCAAACATGGCGAAAATGAATGGCATTGAAGCAGCCGTGTTTCTTAGACTGAAGTTCGGATCATCTTTATTACGGCGCTGACCGAAAACGACATTCCATTTGTTCACTGAGCCAATCAAAAGCCAGCTTCCAAAAATAATTCTACGTCAAGAGTTCCAGGATTCTTCGTAGAAATGTGATAAATAGAGAATTACGCGTCAAGGTTATTTTCTGAGAAACAGCTCAGTGATAAGAATTGCTTATAATTTTGTGTTGGTGGATATTGGTTAGCAATTAATGGCAATAATCTAATTTTTAACAAAACTCTCTTTAGACTCAAAATTCGCCCTCGTTCTGATGCTAAATACGACACACTCGGTATGTGTAGTCCATAAAAAGCAAGGAAAAACTTCCTTAATTAAGAACGTGACGGGGTGTGAAGGTGGGTAAGCAAACACTGCAACCTAAAAACGTATCATTCCGGCTTGATTCTCTGAAATGACCACGTGTTGTAGGGTTGTACTCGCTGCAACGCGTGACTCATGCCTATTAGTCAAAATCACATGTCTGGGACGAAGAAGTTCCGATATTTCAAAGAAAATAAACTTGTGATGTTAACCCGTTGAGGCTGTCACGTATTGAAGCAGAGGAAAGTTCAGTTGCTTTTATTAAGGAACCGCCTCATAAACTGAAGTTCTACAAACAGTGTTTTTAAGGGCTACAAAAAAACGGTAACTGATGGTAAATGATACTAGATTGTGCGTGCTAACGCCTGTTAAGAGCTATTTAAACCATGAACCAATCAGATCCTTGGGCAAAAAATATCTCATGTTTTCAACCAATCCGAACACGTTTATCTGTCATGTGTCAACCCTTAAAAGAAATCGACGTTACAAAGAAGCTCTCTTTGAGTGGGTGTGTTATTCTGACGGGGAAACTTCGGGGCGAATCACTTGAAACTCAAAACCTTTCTCTATATGGAAAGGAACATCTTCAAAAAGGCGGTAAGAGAGGGATTTTTTATATTTTCTTTGCCTTTATTTCTAGGCTTAAAGAAGCTAAATGTTACTGCATTATTAGCTCACGACAGGCATGTTTTTAATTCAATCGAACTGCACGTTATTTGACTTTCAGATGGCAGCTATCATGCCAACTAATGTCGGCGGTGCCTTCCCAGAAAAGCGTAAAGTTCAACATCAGAGCACCAAAGGTACAAGAAAATAACTTGACGTAAAATTTTCATTAAATTAACTTCAAATAAGAAGAATGAGTTTTAAAAGTAACGAACGTTTGCATCCTGAAAGCCTCGCTCTTAAGCCAGTTTCTCTAGTTAAATCATCAGGAAACTCCTGGTAACTCGAAGTTCAAAGTTTGAGTTTTAAAAAGGAAATTAAACACCGATATTAGTAGTAACCTAGATAACAATGTTTTTGAACAGCGTTTCATTCAATTTTTTAAAAGATGTTTCGCCAAGCAAACTGCACGTTTTTTCTGGTTCTCAGTGGAAACCGGCGCGCCTTCTGCAAAATTGTCGTAAGAACGTACACAGAAATTGGTTTAAGCTAAAATGCATAATACCTGGCCAGTTTATATACATCTCGTTGAATAAAAAAGGTTCCACTGTGTTATGCCTTATTGTTCAGATCAAACATTTGCCCCGGCATGTAAAATAATTTTGAAATTCTGGGCACGTATCACTGTTGCCAAAACTCGCTGGACCGCGACATATTTTCTAAATTCTCAAAATTTAGAAATGCTTTTATGTTCGGAGTCCTTTCAGAGCCGGGAATAAAAGCCTGTTTAAACAGTTGTTGATACCTTTTCCAAAGTTCTTGACGACGCCTTGATGAGTTGGTGCAAGTTTCTGATTCGCTTTTATTTTAAGTTGCATTACACTCCAACACGTTTATGGCAACCCATCCAAACTGCCTCGGCAACATTCGTTCAGAATTTGGTTCAACAAATGTTGAAAAAGAGTTGAAACCGTGTTGCTTTCTTTGTTTTTTTAGCCCCACTGTCTTGCGCTGCTGAGATGCGTGCCTTGCCAGCTGCCTTCTCTTTGGCTGAACCAATGAAAGATCCTGGTAATCAAATGCCAACAGCCTCTTACACATTTGGGAAGGATGCAAACTCCTACAGTGACTGGGATTCGTAATCGGCAGGCCAGCGACATATTTAACATCAGCAGTACGAAGAAAGAAGATTTAAAATTAAACTCTTGTGACTGAAGAATAAAAACGCATTGTTTGTAAAATTGCATAAATTAGTGTTTCTTGATTTGTTACTTAAATTGTAAATATATTATTATCCACTCCCCTCAGGGCTTTTCAGGGATAATTTACAACACTGCATGGTTGGGGACTTTGCCAGACTGCTTTAAAAGGTGCAGTTTACAAGTAATGAAGGAATGAGTAATCATGCCCCCATAGATGAGTGTGAAAGTGAGATAGACCACTACAACGGGCACTACGTGCCCTACTCTTTATGAAGAGTGTGTGGGCTCTTTAACGTCCCACAGATTTACTACATGTGCAAGGGCTTGTGAGACGGGGCCTACGGTCAGTATCGTCCTTATCCGAGAAGACTAGAAAGTCTAACCGTTTGCAAATGGGTCTGAACCTACGGCCTCCCGCTCAGCAGACCGGCGCTTATTCCGTTGAGCTAACCGGGCTTATCCTGTTATCTTTGCTTTGAATTGCCGTCTCAACATGCCACTGATAGGTAGCTCTTGTTTACGTTTTTATGGTTATGGTGTATTCTCGGGTTTTATAATTCCGGATGAACGAAACACGGCTTTGTCCGAGACACCGGAAAGCTTACAGACAGACTGAAGATAGACTGTGATGGCCTATTCCGAACAAACCAAAACCCTTTCCCATACAGCGTAGATCATTTCTACATTAAACCGAAAAACAAAATCAGTAATATAATGACGTATCTATACGAGTCAGTATGTACTGAGCCAACGTACCCTTTGAATACTATGATTTTGCCGGTCCGAATCAATGAAATGAGAGAATATTCTCTTTTGGTCAAAAACGCAAGCGCGTAAACGAGTCAACTTGGTAAACCACAAACCGCAGTGATTTTCATGAAAGACAAAATTCTCTTTTTGTTGTTAGGAGAATAAAAGAGAACCCACGTCTGCGAATCACGGCAGTGTAATTGTTTTTCCTATCTACCCACGGTATATAGGCCAGGTTGAAAACTTTATTTTGAGAGCAAATATTTATTAATTTCTTAATTATATACTCAGTCGTAATAGACAAACCAACGTTCGATCTCCACACCCGGAGGGGGGGGGGGGGGTACTTTCTAGTAGTGGGCTAATGGGTATGTGCCACTGGATGGAGTCGCATTTTCACGACTGGATTGACTATTATGAGGTTGTATCTTTTAAGACTTACTACTAGAGAATGGGGTCCCACATCTTCAGCATTTGGGGGAAAAAATTCAGGTATGTAGGGATATTAAAAAAGAAAGATTTACACCACAGTATGTTTAACAAATGTGCCAGTTCATTTCAGGATGACCTAGTTAAAAGGCTTAACAGGGTAGATGTTAAAGTGACTAAGTTGGGATTGCGAAAGTTACGTTTTCCCCCAAAGTGACTAAGATGGGGTCTATAATATGGCCACAGAATAGACTATAATGGGGTAGAGGTTCTGAGAGGCAAGCGGCACAGGCCCACCAAAAATTAGCCCAAGTAACCCCCCGGTGCTCCACATTGCTAAACCTCTGCTACTCTGCTGAATGAACGATCTTTTTAATTATCAGCCAAACTATCAATTAAGCGAAGCAATTGGCCATTGATTTCGTAGCTTTAGGTAAAAAGTAAGAGAGAGAGAGAGAGAGAGAGAGAGAGAGAGAGAGAGAGAGAGAGAGAGAGAGAGACGCTTTCATAGAGTATTGTCATATGCACAGGAAATGAATTTTTCCATTGTTGGTCACCCTTTATCTTACGAAATGAACTTTCACTTTCTTTAAGGCAACTTGCATATTTCAATAACTCGCGGTTCTAAAGGTTAAAGGAAAAATTAAGATTTTTTTTTTCGCACAGACCGGCCCGTCTGTCATTATTTTTTAATGCTGATCTCGAATAGGGAAATTCGAATCACCGAAAAAAGATTTGGAAGATTGCCCGCTACATTTTATGAATTGGACCGGAAACTGAAAACGTTAGTCATCAAAAGACTTCGCGGAAAAAAACGCTATGGTTAATTATAGTAAAATATTATATTAACAAAAAGCTTTTTAGTAATTATTGATGAATTTTGATATATCGAAAGTATGAAGAACTTAGTTTCGAATGCAGTGATCTCCGCTATCTTAGCTGATATTCGAAGCCACTTAGAACTCCGTTCATTTCCGTCATTGACAGCATTTCTTAGAAATGCCGGATTTGCATGTTACTGAAAATTCTGAACTCAGCACGTACGTCGAAGGCAGCGTTGTCTGAGATGAGACGTATCTAGCAATTTGCTGGGCCGACCAAAGTTCTTCGAATCCACGAAGGTAGCCTTAAATTGTTATTGCTTTATGAGTGAGTCTTTGTAAAATTCTCTTATTGATTTTTGACTTCTTTCAATGAGTATCAGAGCAAAGGTATGAAACTGAAGAAGTTCTCCTTGATGAAAATATTTTGACACAATTTATTTTAAACCGAATGCCGAAGTGGAAAGCCAGTGCAACATCGCGAATTTTGTAAAAACTTGAACTGTTTGCTCCGGACAAAATTAAAAGGGTTCGTTCCAAGGAATGCAATTTTCTAGTTATTTTCGATTATTTACTAATGATCCTTTATCTTTAAAATTATATAGGTTTGAATCATCAAAACTTTTAGAATATTACAAGCTCTTCTGCACACTCATTATCTGAGTTCTATTCTTAAGTCACTGAATATGCCAAAAACATTATTGGCGGCAATCTAGTCTCAGTCACGGCGTATTAAGGTATAATACTCGCCTTCAGGGCGTAAGGAGCTAGGCTAGCTCCTTACGCCCTGCTCGCCTTACTTGGCTAAATCAGCCATATTACCATCGCGAGTGCCAGAATCAATCAAGCCAAAAACCGACTATGTGCCACTTTAACCTATATTGTTTAGACCATAACAACGTCGATTTTTAACATTTAACTGCTGTTGTTCAGGTGATCTTTTCCTTCAGTGTTTTTAGGTTAAGTATACTTGAATAGTAGTTTTATTATTCATTCAAAATAATTCCTAGTTTAAAAACAAGCTCATTCACATGCTTACGTCCATCGATGTTTAGTTAATATTCGGTAGTGCATGTTTATCGGCAAGTTTAGGATTTATAGGGTGGTTCAGTTCTGCAAATATTTTGCACTGATATAGAAGATGTCGTCCGTCGAGTTGTCTGTTTACTGTTCTTGCTGTGATTTAACCAATATGGTTCGCCTATTTCTTCCTCCTGAAATGTTCCGCCATTTTGTATCACTACCAAAACAACTCAAACTCGTCCCTAGGTTTTCTCGGTTAACGGTTCAATAATCTGGCAGCGCACAATAGACCTTTTTAGCTTGTATGTTTTGTTTTCGCAATTCAGACCACGTGATGTTCTCCAGGAATTTGCGTTTTGTCTTTTCATTAATTTTGCATACAATAAGACGACATTTGAAAGAAACAGTTCTCCGGGGTACCATCACTTGGTCTGTAATGGGAAAACAAAACATACAAGCTAAAAAGGTCTATTGACGTCTTCAGTTCACACATCGCAAAATTCTTCCAAATCTGGTGAACAGTAGCTGGTTATGATGAATAGACGTTTTTAGCTTGTAAGTTTTGTTTTCCCATTTCATACCACGTGATGGTATTCTAGAGAACTGTTTTTTTCAAATTTCGTCTTATGTCCGTGCATCCACGTGCCTATGTATGCATAATTAATGAAAAGACAAAAGGCAAACTCCCTGGAGAACATCACGTGGTCTCAATTGGGAAAACAAAACATACAAGGTAAAAAAGTGTATCATACGTGAGATTTTAGCCAATTAGAAACGGAGAAATATTTTAAATGAATAATAAAAGCATTTATTATAGAGTACTAAAGTGATGACGTCATAAAAATGAAATTTCTGAAATTATGGCATTTGTCAGGATATTCTGAAATATTCTGATATTCTGAAAGAACAATGTCCAAAAATGAGCATTTCGGGGCAAATTGTCTCTGAGATGTTAGCCGGTTAAACTTAGAAAACTCCATACAAACCCTTCTAATTTTTTTTGGGTCGACCTACAAAAAATTTAGAAGGGTTTGTATGGAGTTTTTTAAGCATACGATCTCAGAGACAATTTGCCCCGAAATGCTCATTTTTGGCAAGTAGGCCTCTTGGACATTGTTCTTGCAGAATATCCTGACAAATCCCATAATTTCAGAAATTTCATTTTTATGACGTCACACTTTAGTACCCAATTCATTCAAAATATTTCTCGTTTCTAATTGTCTTTAAAACCTAGGGTAAATCTTTATAACCAGGTAGCGCTGTAGCCTACGCAGCAGCCAGCCCACGCATCATCTAAAGCTTTTACGTGACTCGGCATTTACATGACGGCCGAGAAAGCTGACATGTAGATTTAAAATTATGTGACTTATTTCGGTGAATTTTGCTAACTAAACAGGTCATATTTTAGAAAAAAGTGTTACTTTAATGTTCATGAGTTCCTCGAGGAATAGCTTGAGAAAACAGCCTATGTTTCGCGACGCCACCACTGGTTTCCCCGCGAAATGACGTCTGAGAAACGAGCGGAGAAATTCCATACTGATGACGCGTCACCACCCAGATGGGGTAGGGCTTCTGATTGGTCGTGCAGCGTGGGAAATTTGCTTTAGTCAATCAGGAGCCCTACCCAGATCTGGGTAGTCACACGTCATTAGTATGAAATTTCTTCGCTTGTTTCTCAGACGTCATTTCGGGAAAACAGTTTTGTGGCGTCGCGTCGGCTGTTTTCTCGGTAACAGATGTTTCTGTTGGTTTTCGTCCGCAATGTTGGTGCCCATCAGGATGGGCCCTAGCAAGGCAACTTCATAAAAATCTAGCTAAATCTCTATAAATTTGGGTAAAACATATCTTTGGATATCTCGTATACGAAACATTCCACTGACCTGAATCTTGGCGAGAGTCATTGCATATTCGCCATTTCACCTTCTTTCATTTCCTAGGTTCTGGACTTAATCTATTAAACGGTTTTGATTTTTATTTTGATCTATTTTGAATGGCGTGACACTGAAAACCAGCCAATACAAGCTAATACAGGCGGATTAGAGTGGGTACAAACACTGATCATATTGCTGATTCAGTTTCACTGCCCACGCCATCAAAACTGAATAAAATCAAAATCGTTCAAAAGATTAAGTCCCGAATCTAAGGAATGAAAGCAGGCCAGTGCAACTTTTCATATGCGAGATATCGAAGAAATTATTTACCCAAATTTATAGAGCTTTGTGTTTAGACACTTCGTGATGCCCATTCCTATGGACACCAACATGGCGGGTCATAAACCAAAAGAGACATCTGTCACTGAGTTTTGCTTTGAAAGCGTTAAGGTCATCTCTCGGTACTTTTTCTAATACAATGACTGTTCAGATAGAAAATCCCTCAAAATAAGTCGGTTTTTTGACCTACATCATAGCTTTCTCGACCGCCATGTTATCAATGTAAATGCTGCGTCAAGCAAACGCCTAGCAATTCAAGCGTATTCTATAACAAAACGAAGAACCTTTTGGAAGTGAAAATTTGTATTAATATTTATATTTTTTTAGCTGCCCCAATACTTCATGAAAGTAGAACTTGGAAGAATCGGTGATTTCTTTCGTTTGATATGAAAGCCAACAATTTGCAAGTTGCGAGTCCCGTGTACTGATTTGCTACCCGAGGGGACAAGATGGGGCCATCTTCCCCGCTCGAAATTTCTCGCATTGGTCCCGCAAGAAAAAGTTCTCTTTTAGGCCATATGGTAAATTCTTTATTGACCCAACTTTTTCGGCCAAGATGGCTATCAAGGATATTTGCCTCGTTCTTATTGCGATTTTCGTTATTAATATCCACTTCGTCTCTGTTCAAACGCAAAAAAGGTATTGGCCAATACCCAGTCATCTTGACCCAACGCTTGGTCAGTAGCGCATAATTGTATTTCCTCAGTATACAATCGTTTCCAGGCAGCGGCGCGGCAGCCTAGCTGTTTTTGACATAAGTTCACTCAAGAAAATGGAGAAAGAGTTCACGGCTATGCGAAGACCGTGACAAAATAGCCAAATTTTTTTAGCTGAACAGAGCAAATGCAGGAATACGCATGGATGAATGACAATCATATACTTATTGAGGAGTGTCTGCAAGGAAAAGACATCTGTAAAACATCTGTATATTCGTGAAACTGTTCTGAGAAACAGGCAGTCCTTCCTTGAGTCAAACTACAACAAGATAACATTGTTGTCAGTTGTGTCCCTAGATGAGAAGACTCCCATAGTATGCCAATATTTCGAGAGATCAGCCTGCTTGTGTTTTTTTTTTGTTTTTGGGAGCGGCCTGTGAAATATGAACTTCCCCAAGAAAAACGCTGATCATGAGATCAAGGCTTTGTGCAAAGAATCACCAAACCTGTTAGTGGCTCTAGAGGGACAGGACGAGTATAAAAAATCCATGGGAAGGTTGTTCTGTGAAAACGACTCCAACAAACCAAAAGCTTTCTTCAGGCCCAAGACTACGGATGACGTATGTCGTGTGCTGCGATACGCCTCAGCCAATCAGCTTCAAGTATCAGTGCTTGGTGGGGGGCATGACCCTAAAGGTATTCTAGAAAGTCAGATTTTGAAACTTGGTTTCTAGGAACCTTAGTCTAGTGTTATCTTACAACCTACAACTAGGGTATCTAAAAGATAGTAATGCTGCGGCACATTCTGTTGATACTGGCATTAGTTAGGCAGTGGGACTTAAAAGAATCGAAAATGACATTGAATGTCCTATTTACATGTTGGAAAGTACTAGAATAATTACTATTAGTCTATATAAAGAACTCGTGGGAACGTTGTTTAAAAGATGATCAAGTGGTTATCAACTCTGGTTTTCCCACAGCAAATTGTAGGAAATGATAGAAATTCAGATTGTTTATCCATATATTTAATATACGGTGTACTATCTTTTCTCTGGAAACATGATACTTTTCTTGCTGTTTATTGCACTTTATTAAGTAACAGTTATTTAGCTTTATATTTATAGAAAACAAAAACACAAAAAACAGAGAAAAAAAGAGTTCAGTGGGACTCGAACCCAGCACCATCGGCTCGACGCGACTACACCGCACAACTACACCACAGAGACTGATGGCATAATTTTGGGAAAAGTCTTTAATTTAATTCCTTTTCCGTGAAACTTCCGCTGGCAAGATGATCGCCAGCTGCATTAATCGAGCTATTAACAGCAAAAAAACAATGTAAACGCATATTCCATGGCAATGAATGAACGAAAGAACATAATTATGCTTTTTAAAATGCTGATACACGTCCTCGTCTGCAACGTAGGACACAAAACATATGTTTTGTTATCTCGATTTCCGCTGTTATTTTGAAGCAAATGGTCAAAATCACATCCATTTTCGGCTCATACAGGTTCTTAAGAATAGCATGGCATGACATTTTCTCACTTTCACATCACCTTCTAGCAAGCTGGAATTTGTATATCCCCCGTGTTACGGAGTTGAAGAGCAAATGCTCATCTTCTTGTCAGGTTTAACACCTTGACAAGTCTCTTGAATTGAAATCCAATCCCCAAGTTAACCATCGTACTCATATGAAAGACTCTTGGGTGTCTTAAATTTGGTAAGACCTCTAACCGTGCTGTAGAAAATTTGCTACAAAGAAAACTCTGAGTCTGGGCAGCGAACGATGCGAACTTCCCCGTGTTTTTATTTGAGTTGTTCGTGGTGCAATGTACTCTGGTTAAATGCAATGCATTGTGGTAAAAAGTGTGATTAAATGCAATGCATTGTGGTAAAAATGATGAATTTGAGAATTCGTCGCCCCTTATATATTTCCCTTAAATCCTGATTATGTTGCTGCTCGCTCCCTACGGTCGCTCCGCAGCAATAACATTGATTCAAACAATTTTAGAAGGCAATAATTTTAATCCATTTTGATTGTCAATATAATGAGTATTACTGCACCGATGCAACTGAAGTTCAGGTCGACGCAGGGTTACCCTGGATCAAGATTTTAACTCAGACAGAGCGTTCATGGAGATGGCCACCATACTGTAAAACAGAAAAGTAAAAGCCACAAATACAATGTCTTTCTTTCATATAACACCATGTAGATCTTTGATCACTTAGTATGAATATTCACTGCTGTCTTTATTGACTTTTTTTTTTTTCGTAATCCGGACATCTCTCAAGTGAGACCATTTTCGTCGGTCCCTATTGATTGAATACTCGTTTCCAATTAAAAACCTGATTGGGTTTTTAATCCTGACTGGGTTTATAATCAATTGGTATTTAAGCTTTCTTGAGAATCGTCAACAGTGGATAATAAACAATAGTTTTCAAGGACAATGGGAATGTGTGAACAGGGGCACTACACAAGGCAGTGTGAGTGGTCCGTACTTATTTAGCATTTTTATTAATGATCTGGAAATCAGCATAGATAACCACCCAGCTCTGATTAAATATGCGGATGACTCTACTCTCATCAGTGTTCCCGTTTGGAGTAATGGGCACCGTCGTACGGATTTGGTGGATCAGTTTTTAACTTGGTCTAATGAAAACAGTATGATTTGTAATCCGTCGAAAGGTAAAGAAATTATTTTTCGCAAGAAAGGATATATTAACAACATTCCGCAATGCACGGAGCTGCCCATTTTAGGCGTTATGTTTCAGGAGAATTGTAAATATAGCGAACACGTACGTGCTAAGTTGACTAAGGCAAATAAGTGTCTGTTTGTAAGGAAGGAAGGTTTCAGTCAAGGTGAAGTGGACCACCTATTTGGCACCTTAGTTTTAAAGAATTTCACTTATAGTCTACCTGTTTATGGCGCTGTAAACTCAGATCTCACGGTCATACAAAACTTTCTGGATAGATGCTTTAAAAGAAAATACACATCTAAGAGAATGGACATTCGAGAACTTTTAGAAAAGGCAGATAAGAAGCTTTTCAAGGTACGTTCAGTGGATCCCGATTGCACGCTCAGTAACGTCATTCCGAAGAAGCCGAAAGAAACAAAGTATCTACTCAGAAACAAAAGTGCTCATCGCCCGGATATAAAGACCGATAGATTTAAGAATGTTTTTGTAAATAGGATTATTTTTAGATATAATCTTGGATCTTTCTATTATTTATATACAGTATGCCTTATGTATTTTAATCTTTTTATTTGTATGCACTGTGTCTTATGTATGTTTAGATTCCCAACTGCTGATGTAACTTAAGATATGTCTTTTTATCTTAGGAGAATAAAGATTGATTGATTGATTGATTGAGAGGGGGGGCGGGGCGGGGGGAAGGGCTCCTGACAATAGATGGTACTTATTTCTCTCACCAGCTCACGACCCAGACTCCCAACAGTTTTTGCGCGCAGACTGAAACAAGAGAAAATACCTGCGTGTCAAGTTAAAATATTTCCAATCAAAATTGAAGTGACAATTTGTTTACCCATCTGAAGGCTTGGCTATCATTCACGATGCCCTCGTTCTCGACATGTCTGCAATGAATCACATCGACATTGATCCCCAGACAGCAACAGCCTGGGTCGAGGCAGGAGTGAACGTGAAGGATCTTGATGATGTCACATGCCCACAAGGCCTGGCTGCAGTGAATGGCTCCTGCACGACTGTCGGTGTAGTAGGTTTCACTTTAGGTGGAGGGTTTGGGTTTCTCAGCAGGACGAAGGGGCTGGCAGTCGACAACTGTCTTCAAATGGAAATTGTCACTGCTACTGGTCAGCGGATAGTTGCATCTTCGCAAGGGCACAGACATCTCTTCTGGGTATTGAGAGGAGCTGGGCAAGTGGGATATGGCGTGGTAACGAAGCTACAAGTCAAATTACATACCTTGCAAGAACAATACGTCGGAGGTAAGGGACCTTTTTACTTAGAAGCATTTTTGGGATCGATTAAAAAAATCATTTGAAACTTGTAACTTGACGTTGGACTCTTGCCTTATTGTTATGAATATTGAACTCTGTTGGACGATTCAAGCCTGATTTCTATTATGTTCGCTACAATCGGTTAGATCCCTGGATTATATAACCGAAATTTTAGGGGGAATCTGGAAAAGGCCAGGCTTTAAAAATACCTTTGAAAATAAAGCCCGTCTCCGGAACCGTATCGCTGTGATGGCTGAACCCATTTTCAGGCATCCTAGCGATCATATAAAACCAGGATTTATTGACATGTTTGGTGCGAAAGCTTCCGAACACAAGGTCGATCACGTTTACGCTCATACCGTAACAGTTTAATTCAATTGATTGCTATATGAAGGAAATGTGATATAGGTGCAATAGTTTATATGTTGACTGTTAAAGTGTTATTTAGGTAAAGTGCATACGAAGAGGAGGCCCACTCGGCGGTAGCTTAGTTCAGGTTCCTGTAACATAGCATCTAAGGGGGTAATTACAAGAGACCGGGACGAACTCAGACCGGTATGAGTTCGTATCGGTCTCCATACATTTCTTTTCATGCGTTTACATGGGACCGGCCTAGAAATGAACTCAGACCGGCCTGACTTCGTTTCGTCGCTGACCCGACTCGAGTTACTTTCGTACCTTTCTGAGACTGTACCGTTCTCATGTAAAACGGAAACGAATCTCAGGCCGGGTCCATAAATAGCATGTTTCTTCGTATGGCGCCATCATTTTTGCTTTTTTCTCAGCAAAATAAGAACACTGCGATGAATAGCTGTAAACAAGACTTCAATTGAATATATGATTCGGTTAATGTGACGGATTGCATCGTTTTGAGATGCTGTGCATTTAACATGCCACCAAATGAGCGTTAGATTCAGTTTACAGTTTTCTGAGAGCAGTAAAATATGCGGTTCTCTATTGACTGTCTTAATTGGCGTAAATTGTGTACCAGTTAGGACAGTTGGCGAATAATATGTTAAATAACCGACTTAAGAAAGTTATATAGCTCCAAGGGGGGGAGTTTGTACCGGTCTCATGTAATCAACGAAGTGTTTCATACCGGTCCCATGTAAAGATTATCCGTTGTTGTGCTTTCCTCTGAAAGTGAGAGATGCTGGCAGTATGTCTCCGGCATCCATTTAATGTACACATGTGTAAAAAGAGACAATTAGTGGAGCCATATATAATGGATGACATTTTTGTCCTGCGTTGTATTCTAACAGGTCGCTTTTGGTACGTTCCGATGAGCTCAACAAAGCTTAAGGAACTTCTGCACGTTATGAGCGAGTTTTGTAGATCAGCTGAAGATGAAATAACTTTCAACATTTACCTTATAACACAAGTCCCTGGGGTTGCAGTGGATTACTTCTATGACGGACATCCAAGTGAAGCCGAGGGAAAACTCCTTCCGTTCCTTCGTAGTATAACAGAGAGGTTTGGTCCCCCGGGAGAGAGTTCTACCGCTGTTAATGGTCCTTGGGAAGAACAGACCACCTCTTATGTCGAGTATCAGCAAAGATTTGGGGAGGAACCAGTGAAAACCTACAAGATGTGGAAATCTGCTTTTCTGGGAGAGTTGACTCCAGAGGTATGGATTGCGTCTATTTGGGCGGATTAAAGGACAACAACTGAGGTGTAAGGCTGGTTGTTCCGGTCACACAAATCACTTCAGGGTTTTTTGGTTGAGAAAATCCTTGTTAGAAAATCTCTATCAGAAACCCAGAAATACCCCAAGTGCTGCAAAGATTTTGAGTTAAATTCCCTGCAGCGACTTCTGCAGTAAAGCTTTTTAACTAAATAAGGGTCAATTCACGGACATGGGCTAAGGGGCTGACCCAAGGGGGGGAAGGTAACTCTATTGTTTTCCACTTAAGTTTCTCGACCCACTCCGCCTGCCAGTATGACGTCACATAGTAACGGGTAAGAGCCTCGGGTCGCTTGTGCAAAATAGCAAGGGATACGACAGTTATTTGGACGAGAGAGGTCGAGGAAAAGCTAAGAAGCTAGCAAATATCGCTATATATCGCTAATTTGATCGAATGAGTGTGAGCTTTGGTGTTGCTGTAATCTGCTTGTGTAAACCGTTTTGATATTTTGTGTCCATGATTATATAATTTTGTTAATTTGTTTTGCGGGCCGTGTCGCGGGATCGCCATCTATTTCACGGGAACGGCAAGGTCATCAAAACTAAAATCTTTTTTTTCCTCTTAAATAGGCAAGGTCTAGTCTCCAGAATAGGAGGTTCCATTCACAGATCACACATGTTTATATTTCATCTATTCTTTTGCTAAATAAATGGGCCTAACTTCATATCATTCCTTTCGAGTGAGGGCCTCTGTTGATCTCCTAATTCTCCACCGAATTCAGTAAAGCTAGTTCGATCGATTCTCTACATCTAGTCGGTCCGTTGAACCCGAAATAATGCGAAATAGCTTTGAAATACGCGCTTAAGCTAATTTTCCTCAAATGTATATTTGAATTCATGATAAATACAGCTCCACCAACTTCAAACAGCGTCTATGGCAGAGAAAAATTATTTTGATATGACAAAATTGATTTTTCAAATCATGAGTGTCACTGTGGTGCAGTGGTCAAGGAGTTTCCAGGGGCACCCAACGAGAATATAGTTCAAAACCTCTTAAACATAGCATTGTTAAACGTATTTTAGTATTTAAACGGTAGATATAGACATTATAGATATTTTTCCTTTATCTCTTGTACGTTGTTTTTATTTTTTCTCCATGTAAATGTAAGTATTGTCATTAGAAGTGTTTTAACCAAATAAATGTTATTATTAAAAAAAAAAAAAAAAAAGATATAGACATATTTTCATGCCCTAAAAATTTTTCATCTGTTCGGATTTCCTAGCTGAAAGTCTAGTGATCCGAAAATTATAGGGATCAAAACTTATTTTTTCGAAACTTTCAGCCAGAAAAAAGGCTCCCGAAAATTCTAGGTGACCTTTTAAGGGTAAAAATCGGTTAAAAATTGGCAATTATACCATTTTTAGATGTTCGAAAATCCTAGGAGAGGCAGGCAAGCAAAAAAAAATTTTACAACAAATGTTCCGAAAATTCTAGATCTCAAATCGTCTTCCGAACAGATATTTTCCGAAAATTGTCGTTGAGTGCCCCTAAGTTTCTTGCACGTGCAGATAAACAGGGTTCGACTCCCTGCGACGCTGTTTTCTGTTTATTTGTACCGGTTTTTTTTCCTGTTTGGTCTCTTTTTTTTAAACACTATTTTTCATTTTGGCTTTTTTTCTTTATTCTCACTGCTGACCCTGCAGGTCATGCACTTGGATCAATATATATTTTAAGCTTAAGTCCGGAGTTTTATTTTGGCAAAGGGATTTCAAAAGCTCTTGATGTGCATACTGGCCAAGCTTACGACCAGATAAAAACCATAAGCTGTCAAGACATGTCCCTCCTCTGAAACAGCTCAATGTTAGTTGACTTCATGACAAATAACACACAGTACACCACAAACTGTACTAATTTACACACAACATCCACCAGTGACCCACTGGCGAAAGTTAAACTTGCCTTTTGTACATCGTCTTAATCATCAATATTATTACCTGTATTACCCTAAAATCTCCACTGGGTTTGCCCCCCAAAAATAATTGAACGAAACCTTTTATTGGCTTTCGGGATTTAATTACAGAATAACAGGTGTATGCCCAATACAGTATTAAAATGCGCCGGTAAAGCAACAAGATTCAATGCTCACAGTCTCTCACAAATACCTGTCATTTAGCTTCCCCTTTCAACGCTACAGCTAAGCGAACTTTGAGAGGAACGATATGGGGTTCCACTAGCTCTGAAGAGCTGAAAATAAGCACAATGTAAAGTGTAATACATCCTTTTTATGAACCTCCTGTACGTCGTCTTAATCATCAATATCATTACCCTAAAATCGCCACTGGGTTTACCCAAAAACAATAATTAAACGAAACCTTTTAATTGGTTTACGGGATTAAGCAACAAGATTCAATGCTCCTATTTCAAGGCTACAGCTAAGCGACCTTTGAAAGGATTGATATGGGGTTCCACCAGCTCTGAAGAGCTCAAAATACGCCCGATGTAAAGTATGATATATCCTTTGATGAACCTCCTATTGCTGTGTCTAAACTCCTGAATCTTGCTGTGCACTGGCCCTCAAAAGTGTGACCGGTGGGTATGATTGCCCTTAAAATTTGCTCGACTATAGAAAGGAATCTTTAAAATTCATTACACCACTGGACATTTCACTCCAAAAAAGTACTTAAGTCTAGTTTTCTATGACAATAGGAACCTTAAAATCTCCAAATCCAAGAAATCGGATCAGTATTTCCGTGATTAAATCGAAATTTTTATCCGTATCTTCGATGAAGTTTGCTCGCCATTTTGAAAGTCACTGACGCGAGACGTGACGTCATACTGGCAGGCGGACTGTACCACAGATTTCCTTGGAGACACCTTCCCCCGCTGGGGCTGACCGTTTGACTTTTGAGGGGGTATGGGTAATTTTAGAAACAAAAATATCCTGCAGACTCATTTTGAAAGAAACAAATTCTTGCCAGGAAATACCTGGCGAAAAAAATTCTTACGCTGAAAAAATACCTTTCATGGCCTATAATGCTGGGAAAAAAGTCTTACACCGTTGTTTATCAGGAAAAAATATTCTATCACCAGAGGTTTTGGGGAAAAATTCTTTCCCGGACCAAATCACCCTTCCCCCCCCCCCAATCCATTGACGTAATTGTCCAGTTTGACTTATCATTCCATTATATTGTGTGAAGCTTTTGAAATTTTTATCTCTTTTATTATTTTACATTTGGGTGACTAAATGATGATACGTTGTCTTCTTTCTCTTACCATGCAGGTCATTCATATCATCATTAGCCAATTGGAAGAAGCTCCAGTTTCTTCTAACCCACACACTATCGGCCTCGAGCTCTTGGGCGGAGAAATCAACCGTAAGTCACCTGATTCTTGCGCCTACGTGCACAGAGATGCACTATATTTGTTCAGTGCGCAGGCCGTGTGGACGCCTGAAGACGAGGCTAAAGGTAATGCGCATGCGTGCAGGCAGTGGGCAGAAGAGACGGCCCGGTCATTACTGCCTCACTCACTTGGATCATATCAGAATTATGCTGACTGTGGAGAAAACACTAGGGCGCAACGCCTGGAAAATTATTTTGGCAAGGCAAATATCCAGAGATTAAAGGAACTTAAAGAGGAGTATGATCCGCTTGGCATATTCACCAGAGAACATTTCAGACTTTGACATTGAGTGAGTTTATTACCTTATTTTAAAAGCAGTAAAGAAACTTGAGGACTATCTATGACTGGAAGATGTCTAGTTGACCCCAATTCCCCAACTTGTTTCATACCGCCTATCGAAATTGTTTGTTTGTTTTCAGCACCGCCACTTATACTCCCCCAGTAATATCCTTATTTGAAGGTTTCATTCCTTTCAAGGATTTTTGTTGTTGTCAGGATTGAGTGTTTGGTCCTTCTTAAAAATAATAATGATAATTATAACCAAGAAAAGTCATAAATGTCTTCTTCGGCCACAGGGAGCAGAGGAGTTGATTCCTGTTTAATTAGCGTCGCGGCGGCGTTTACTCCAAGCCTTACAAGTCTGTACCACGCAAAGCTCCATTATGTACACATAAACGCAACGACAAGTGATTTAAGTTGTGTTTTTCTCGTTTATTTTTAAACGTCGGTTTTAACTGGACACGCATATAATGACACTGTCAAGCCCTGCTATACACTGTAGTTTGTAATTACTGAAAAACGTTTTCTCTCCAAAGGAAAATCAATGAACTATGACATAAAATACCGTAAACTTCTGTTAATAAGCCTCTCCCCCCAGTTATAGGTCCATCTACCTGTAATGGGCCCCTACGGCTGATATAAGCCTCCTCTGGCTTGGATTGAAAATGAATTTAAAAAGCGAGTAAATTCAAAAAATTTTTTGATTTGCACTGCCATGTAGCTTGTTTTTAAACACTCATTTTAGTCCGGTTATAAGCCTCTCCTCCCGTTTATAAGCCCTGTTAAAAACCCCTGACAAAGGGCTTGTAAGCAGAAGTCTACAGTACCTTAATTAGAAATAACCTTTCAGATATTCACACTTAAGTACTGATAAAACCGTATTTTTTATTTAGGTAATGCTATATACAATAACCAAATATTCGTGAATAAAAAGTAATAATAAATAATAGAACAAAGAAAAAATTAAAATAAAATCTTTCAACAAAATTGCAAAACGGTAGCTCGCTTTGCTTTTTTTGAATTGTTTTAAAAAGTTAAGGCTAAAATCGCTATTAAGCGTAAACCCCCAAATCTAATCTAATAATTCCTCAAAGCTATAACTTTGAGTCACAGAAACTCAGCACTTCTTTCCCAATCTGTGACTTCACTAAATTTCGATGAAGGAAAGAAACCACTTGCACTCTTCTTGAGAGTTGTGATTTACCAACCTCTTCTTTCTTACTAAAGCAATTGCTTCGACTTTCTTTGTTTACTAAAGTTTCACACCCAAACTCGAAGCAGTGTTTACTGGTCTCAACAACTTCCTTTTCCGCTTGTTATCCGGGTTGAACTTGGAAATTGTCTTCTTTACGAAAACCTTTTACCTGAGCCAAAGCTGAAGCCAGGTGTCCTGGGTACACTGTGTGCAGCCACAGATCGACCAGGAGTATTGCCGGGTCGCACGAAACCATGGTGCCTTGATTGAACCGCGTCCTCATCAGAAGACGATAACGAGCTGCTAGAATGCGGTTTGTGCAGGGTTTTAGGAAGTTTACTCGGCACAGGTTGATTCTCTGTGCCATTTGGTTTGAGCTTCGATGACACTGTTTTCTTTGATCTTGACTGGTTCATTTGATTCCTTGAGGGTATATTTTTGACTTCGCTTAAAGCTTTGCGTTCCTCTGTCGGTTGCGAACTTTGATGCGGTAACGGTTCTAAAAGCAAGAATATCAGCGTAAAACTCTTTTAACTAAGCAAGAAGAAATCAAATTAAAGTAAACCTCGGTTTGACATAATCAGTGCACGTCTCTTTGCTTAATTCCTCGCGTGGCGAGTTAATAATTTTGTCGAAATTCGCATTGCGCGAGGAACGTGCGTGGACCGCAAAGCGAGGCAGAACGAGCGAAAATCGAGATAAAAGAGGAATTTTCAGTGCGTCTATGAGGCGGTCCAAGTCTCAAGACTTTGTCGTGAGTCGCACAATTTCACAACCTATCTCTGTGGAAATGGTGTTTTCCCCGCCGAGTTTCAGCTCCGTACTACGGCCCGAAGTGGCAGAAGTATAAATACCTCTTATTAGCCGAGTTTTCGGTCCGTACCGTAAATTACGGACCGACTTTGTTTCCATCGATTTATGACCCAAGCGCTTCGCGCTTGGGCCATAAATCGATGGAAAACGAGCATCCGTAATTTACAGTACGGACCGAAAAACGAGGCTGATAAGATGTTTATTATATGGCTTCCTCCTGTTTGGGGACCGGAAACAAGTGGAGGCCTAGGATGCACGATTTGACAGGCGTCAAAAAAGAAAGTTTTTATTTGCCCACAAAAACAATAGCACATAACAAAGGCTTTCCGAGAAAGTAAATACAAATTCGCCATGTTGAAAAAGTTTATTCCGTCAAAACTAAGAGCACTGTAAGTTTTAGCTTTTTAATGTAACGCTGGAGTATTTTGGAAACCGGACACTGTGTCTGTCTAAAAGTCCTTTCCATCCAGTTCCTCCGTTTGTCCTTCTAAAAAAAAAACACTGCAAAAGGCAAAGAAGCTTTTAAGGTAAGACTTGTTGTCATTGTCGAAGGATTCGCTCGTTAATTGTTTTGGGAAAACCTCTCTTTCTGCCAGTTCATTCTTGTCATCAATTGTGATGTGCGTTAAAATTTTTTAAACACTGACTAGCATTCTCTTCCTCGATCGGTAAGGTTACGATACTTCAGTTTAGTGAAAATCATCCTCGGAGACCCAGGGGCTTTCAAGCACAGGCGAAAAGCCCCTGGGTACCAACTCACCGGACCATTTCCCAAACGGTCAAGCGAATGCTGACCCCTATTGGGCACAAAAAAAAGCTTTGTATTATTGCCCAATCAGCGGCCAGTCCGGGCCACAACCAGATCTGGCGGATATATGATGACGTCACCCACATTTGCAAAATGGCGCCACGCCGAGAAACACGAGGGAAGGTCACTTCCAGGCTCTTTGCTGTGCCTAGAATGTACTACTTTGAGAGCTGTGACTTTAGACAATGAGAAATCAGGGGTGTGAAGAAAAAATGCCGTCCGATGAACGTTTGTGCGTTCTTGGGAGGTAAAACGACCGAACACGAAAAGACAGACATTGATTAGTGACTGTTTACGACCCTTCGTGAGTGCAATTTACAGAAATTTTATTTATTTTTTACCTTCGCATATTAATTCAAGATGTTTGACGATTGAAATATTGAAAACTAATATCCAGCACTCCTTCGATCACAATTAGATTTTAGCGCGTATTAGTATTGCTCCCGAAGAAGCATTATAGAACACACTACTCTTGGTCGAAGCAGTGCTCGCAAAAAGTACTCCAAACACGACTTCTTTATACCTTTCCACCTAAAATGTATCAGTATTTCAAGTATTCAAATTCCCTACTCTTCCTTTTCGATCGGTGTCGTCGAGTTGCTTCGGGTCTCTTGATATCAGAAGTCCAGGCGTTTTTACAGAAACCTTCCTCGATCATTATCATCTTGATATTTGTAAATCGAACGCTAAGACGTTTAAAATCATCTCGATTAATCGGTTTGGCATTACATGCTGTTACTTTTCTTCAAGGAACATCCAGCCATAGCGCTCTTTGCTGCGACATTTCTGTCGAACTTAGTCCTTTCGCAGTCAAATCAATGTTTTGGTTGCGGTCTTGACCAATCACATTGCAGGAAATTACATATCCAGATCTGGTTGTGGCCCGGACTGTCGGAGAACAGTTTCTCCTGAGTTCTTTACGTGAGTTCCTACACGACGGCTATTTTCTCGCCACAGTTGCCCGGTTTGCTAACCAGAAATGAAGAAACTACCGATGAGTCGAAAAACGTTTCGTATGCTATCGGCAAAAGCAGTTCAATTTGCGCTGAGAAAATTAATTTTGTTTCTGACGGATTACAATGTATGGTAAATAATAGGAAGTTTAAGATGCAGCGGTGACGAGAAAGTAAAAAAGCAATAGCTTGACAAGACAAAACAACAATTTTGCAAGTGCAGACACGCTTTTTTGTACATTTCATTGCCGTCACTACACGACTACCTCGCGTGAAAATGCCTAATTTCGCGTTTTTTGAAGGACGCAAAGACGCAATGACAAAATTTTCTTTCTCTTTGTGAACTTGGATATGGTTGATAGAAATTCAGTTCCAGAAGAGTTCGCTCGCTTTTGACAAAGTAAGCGAATTGGAATAATCACGATAGAGACTGAAAAAATGTGAATTCGCTTTTCATGCGACGTTTTCGTGGCTGTCGGCTGTCGTGGCTTGTTAACCTCCCTAATATTCACGAAGGCGTGATCGATGCAAGCGTGAATACCTGTTGTGAGCTCAAGCTTGTATTTTTGGAAAAGCGTCTTTAGTTTTCGGGTAGACAGTATTTTGAAATGGAGAGTTTATATCAAACAGAAAGTTTCCTGACTGCGTGCATTTCTTTGGTGCATGAGCCAGGCAAGCCGTGATCGAGTCAATAGCCGTGGTGTACGAACTCACAGAAGAACTCAGGAGATGCTGTTCGCTGATTGGGCACAATAATACAAAGCATTTTTGGTGCCCAGTCAGGAGCTAGCAATCACTTGACCGTTTGGAAATGGTCCGGTGAGAGTCGGTACCCAGGGGCTTTTCCGCTGTGCTTGAAAACCTTCGTCGCGCCTTTCCTCCCGGCCCAACTGATCGCCCAAGAAGAACAAACAAGAAGCATTCTTTTTCTCGACTACAAAGAGTTGTATGCTTTCCTGACTTTCCCTGATGTGCAAAATGGCCCAAATGAGCGCAAGAGCCTCCGGCCGCTTTGTTGCAAAAAACCGTTTTGATATTTTGTGGGATACCACAGTTTTCATTAGGATGAGCGAGGTCGAGGAAAAGCTTTAACTCCAAAAGGAAAAGCTTTTTCAGTAAATACCACAGATTTTGGCAATATATCCTGTACCTAAAATTTTTATCGTAAAATGAACTCCAAAAAGTGTGAAACTTTGTTGCTTTCTATAATCTGCTCGTGTATAAACCGTTTTGAT